TTCTTCTAGAAATTGAAGTTTTTGTTAAGTTTTCCATCCGACATATTGGTCATCTTGAATTTTGAAAATCTGATGATGGATTCGTAATCAGCGGCCCAAGAAAACGGCCCTAGATACCTAGTTTCACGGAAATTGGTTGAATTTTTAATTTTATGTCCGTCATATTGGATTCATTTTGAATTTCTAAAATCTGACAGCGGATTCGCAATCAGCGCCCCCAAAAAGTCCTCGCGTATCAATTCTCAAATAAAAATAGTTAATTCTTCGCCTTGCCATACATTTATTCTTAAAAACATTTTATTATGCTTACTTATTTACTATTAGCAGTAATAAATTTAAAGAATTTATAACTAATCATAATTGTTTTACACTAGTTATGGTCTTAAGAAGATAGAAAATATAATTGCTAAGAAATCGATCATTAAAACTGCTCATAAAATATAAAAAAACTGACGGAATATAGGTGGGTGTCTCTGGATGTCCGCCTGCACCACAAAGGGTTAAGCGAACATATCTTGATGTCGTTCCCTCATGATTAGCCGGGAAACTAGTTCGTTTGCAATCGTGTGAACTGGGAAAGAGGAAATAACTTGACTGCGCCAAATTTCCACGAACCGTTTACGATCCCGCGATAAAACCAAGATTTAGCGGCTTTCGGATTTCAAGATTTAGCGCAATGCGAATAATAATACGTTAAGAGACTTGCGAAGTTGGATCTCGTCCAATTAGCACGGCAGGGATCCGCTCTCCGCGTCGATCCGCTTTTCTCCTAATTTAGCGGCGCTTGATTGAAACGACAAGATCCACCGAGGCTTGGCTGATCTTTACGAGGAAAGAACAAATCGACCACCGGTCGAAGGCTATTATTTCAGGCATGTCTCATCAATCCGCGTTGATCCGCTGATCCGCGCGCAACGGCGGCGGTCTTTCCCAGTTAGAGCGTCCGTTAATGGCAGATAGAGCGGTAGAGCGTGAGATGCTATTACTATTCGCATGATCGGCGTATGACGTTGTAATCCGCCTTGAAACACGCTTAATGGAAAGAATTACGTTCCGCATCGACGAGATAAGCAGTTTCCATCCGACACGCACGTTATAATTTCGCGGCGGCGTGTAATCGAGTAGGAAGCAGGATACGTCCCGGGAAAAGGAACGAGGTTAGGAACAGATGGAGATACTGCGTCGAGGGGAAATGAAATTTCGAGGGAGTGGCCGCGCGTGTGTTTTGGGCTCGCCTTCGATGTCGCGCGGTATCCTGGCCGATTATTCCGACTGGACCCAGGCTCTCTCGACGATCGGCCGACGACCGACGCGGGCGCGTCGCGTAGGACAAAGAGCGTCCTGGACGGCCAAGTGTATTCGAAGACGAAGAATTGCAGGCATTGGTGGACGAAGACCCATGTCAAACGCAAAAACAACCTGCAGAAGCATTAAATTGTGCTCAATCTGTCATTTCCGATCGTTTGAAAGGCTTAGGGAAGGTTTACAAGGAAGGAAAATGAGTCCCATATGAACTGAAGCCGAGAGACATTGAAAGGCGAGAAACCACCTGCGAAATTCTGCTTGCTAGGCAACAAAAGAAAGGGGTTTTTACATCGTATCATCACTAGGGATGAAAAATGGATTTATTCTGACAACCTCAAACGTCGAAAAACTTTTTGCGAACCCTCAACATCGACGCCAAAGAGGAATATCCATGGAAAGAAGGCAATGCTCTGTATTTGATGGGATCAGAAGGGTGTGCTGTATCATGAGCTGTTGAAAAGTGATCAAACAGGGGATCTCTATAGATGATCCATTTGAACCGAGCATTGCACGAAAAACGACTAGAATATGAAACGAGACAGCATAAAGTGATTTCGCTTCATGACAACGCTCGGCCTCACGTCACAAAATCTGTCAAGGAAACGTTAGAAGCACTTCGCTGGGAAGTGTTACTACCCCATGCGGCTTATTCACCAGACTGTGCCCCTTCCGACTACCACTTGTTTCGGTCGATGGTACACGCACTTGCTGACGAATGCTTCAATTTTTACGAGGACGTCGAAAAATGGGTCTCTGACTGGATAGCCTCTCCAAAGATAAGTCATTCTTTCGCCGCGGAATTCGCTTGCTGACCGAAAGATGGCAAAAAGTCATCGTTAACGATGGACAATATTTTGATCGATGTACTTTTACATTTTGTTTCTTAAATGAAGCCATACGTTTTTATTACAGAAAAACGGACGGAACTTTCCGATTCACCTAATAATAGCGTCGACGAATGCCATGATTGCGCGGCTGGGCGATGGCGTGATAACGGCATAATCTCGCGCGAAACTTGGCGGCCGAGTTGAAAGATATCTCTTATGGCATCGGGATGATTGGTCGCCTCGGTGCAGGAGCAAACGCGCAGCGTGCGCATCGTGATGGAGCGACGAGTGAACGACTCCGCGGAGGACGCGGCGCAGCGCTCTCCCCCCCCCCTCCTGCCCCGCCGCTGAGCCGAGAAGAACGATCGCCGCTCGGCGGGATAATGTACGGGATGGCACGTTTTAAACGGGTACAAAGTGCCGACCGGTTTTGCACAATCGGCGTAATAACGTTATTCTCCTCGGTAACAATAGAGCGTGCATAGAGTCGCGCGGCGAGCTTCATTTCGCACGGCTGCGCGGAGGAAGGAGATACGTTCTCGCCGCACGCGAGCCGAGAAGAATGGCCGGGCGGGAGGCCATGAGGGAATATAACGGGTACCGTTTCTTCCTCCCGCACAGATACGCAACCGTCATCGTGTACAAAGTAACCGAAGAGAGCGATCCACCGCGCACGCTCTCTTTGGCTAATTAGCCGACGTTCGCGCCGAGTTCAGAAATCTAAACTACGATTCATGAAAGGATAAATGTGCATTAAAGGTACCCTTCATCGATTTTTTTTTTTCAATTTGATGTGTGCTGTAGAAGGTAGAATTTTGAATAACATTTTGCAATATAATTGTACGCGAATCGTTAGTAGTTTCCGAAATATTTGACTTTAAAATATTCTAAAATATTATGCATTCTCAAAAGTTACTTATCTTTATGATTGTACGACGCATATCGTTATTCTGAATTAGGTTAGGTTAAGTTGTTAAAAAAAAAAGAATTCAAGACTTTAAGAGCAAATAATACAGGGTATTTAAAGAAAAAAGGTTTAAAAAAAAGGATTAAAAACTTTAAGAGCAAATAGTGCTCGCAAAATGGAGGAAGAAAATCCTAATAAACATGAGTTGAAAAATTAATATCGTCGGAGTTATGAACAGTTATTTATTTTAATCAAAGCGAGTGACTTACTCGTTTCTGGTGCTTTTGTATTCTTTGACATAATTTATCGGTAAAGAACTACCATGCTTTAAAGGAATCCCTAAAAGAAAGTCTCCGCTCTTGCTCGGGATGTAAACAAACATCTATCTTCTGTCCATTTATACGGAATGTCCAAAAAGTCCCGGAGCGATATCTCGAAAACGAAGCATTTTAGAAAAAAATGTTTCGGACAAAAGTTGTATGGTTTTAAAGTGGACATATAACAACTATGCCATTTTGTTTATCGATGGTGCCACTTTCGAAATATTGACTGATCATTACTTTCCTTAAATGGAAACCTCAGTTTTTTATTATATCATCTTTTTCTAACTAACTTTTTCTAACTATTTGTCGAAAGAAAAAGTGACTTTTGTTAATTTTATGATTTTGAAATTGTCAAAAATCGATAAATTAACAAAAGTCAGGACGCTATTGTAACAATATATTCTTGAGACTAAATAAAGTAAAAAAGTCTAGTACCACTTTTTCTTCCGATAAATAGTTAGCGAGATATCGTAAGTTAAATATTGAAAAAATTATCAAGTTTTCCTATTTATATCTGAATTGATATTTATATCTGAAAAAATATTAGGCAAATAAAAAAATGTTTCAGACAAAAGTTGTTAAAATTAATTGACAGAAACATTTCTCCCCGAAATATCTTGTTTTCGAGATATTTTATCGGTCCGGGATTTTTTAGACATCCTGTATATACGCGTTACCAAGCAATTGTTAATCGCATGTCCTCGTGAATAGCTGAATAGTAAATAGATGTAAAGAGTTATCACAAATTTTCACAATACAGTAAGAATGACATTGTAATATTCTAATGAAGAAATGGCAGAACGCATTTCATGTATGGCTGTGCATTAGAAACGAGTAAGTCATTTGCTTTAATTGAAGTAAATAATTGTTCATGACTTCGACTATACTAATTTTTCGACTTACGTTTATTAGAATCTTTTTCCTTCATTTTGTGAATACTATCTGTCCTTAAAATCTTTTTTTAAAACATCTCGTATTATTAAGCATTGTGGTTTAAGAATCTTTTCAACGCTCAACCATATGTAAAAACGTATAAGTTGGGTTCGATTAGATTAGATTAGGTTAAGCTGGGCTTTTTTTCGAAGAGAGGGTGCAAAGTAAATCACTTTAATTTAAAATAAATCGCTTTAATTAAATCGCTTTAATTAAAATAATTGTTCACAGCTCTGACAATATTAACTTTCTCCATCTATGTTTATTATGACTTTTTTCCTTCATTTTATGAGTACTGCCTTTAAAGTTCTAAACCTATTTTTAAACATTTTAAACTCTGTATGTGTATGTGAAACAACTGTACTATGCAAATCACTTATATTGAATATTATACAACTTATAATTTTCTAAACTTTTAATTTATTAAATAAATAAACAATAACCTAACTCAATAAACCGCGAATAACAACGTATGTTGCACGCTTATGAAGATAAACAACTTCTGAGAATGCCCATAATCCCAGTGCTTTGAAGTCAAATGTCTCGGAAACTGCAAGCAACCCCACCACATAGTTGTATGATAAAAAGTTACTCAGAATTTCACCTTCTACAACATATTTCGAAATAAAAGAAAATCGGCGAGATGTTACCTTTCATGCATATTTACGTATGCATGCCGGTGAAAGATCCAGGGAAAAGGCTTACCTCGTCGAGAGCCATAGACAGAGCGCCGGAGATGGCGAGGCCCTGACGGTCCTTGAGGCCGCCCTTGATGGCCGTGAGATAGCCGATGGTCAGGTTCTGCTTCTGCTTCTGCGGCCTCTTCACGAACGACTCGGTCGTGATCGAATGGACTGACAGTCCCGCTGGAAAGTGACCACTGAGGGACGCTTGCTGCTGCAACTGGGCCGCGAGCAATCCCGGCGGCTCGGCCTGGACCAGGACCAGGACCAAGGGGCTGCTGGCCAGTAGCAGCAGCACCAGGAGGGCGCGTGGGCTGCCGCCGTTGGCGCGCGGCTGCTGCGGCAGGTGCAGCCGATGCTGCTGCTGCTGCTGCTGTTGCTGCTGCTGCTGCTGCTGCTGCTGCTGCTGCTGCTGCTGCTGCCGCTGCTGCTGCTGCTGCTGCTGCTGCTGCTGCTGTCGGTCGCGCTCCTGATGGAGCTGCTGCTGGTGCGGATGCTGGTGACGGGGAGGCCTGCGGTGGCTCGGCTGTACTGGCGGGCCGGGGCGCATGGCCGCCGCCGCCACCGGTCAGCAGCGCCTCCCTCCCGCTTACCTAGAAAATATATATCGAGGGCACGTTGAGAAAGCGAGAGAAAAAGAGAGGGGGAGGGGGTGTTTCAAGTGTTTCGGTTAATTTTGAAGGTTGGCGGTAGACGGATCGTTTATTATTTTAACGATCCGATTTCAATCGGAATATCTTCCACCGTTTGCTGTCTCCTTTCCCCATTTCTCTGGCGATAAGTGGATTCCACGATAGAGAAGAAGACTCATCTTTAGGAGCGATCCATCGATCGTCAGCCCTGAAGATTCACCGAAATAGCCAACGTATCGCAGCTGAGGAAAGTCGCAGTTGAGAGAGGCCCGGTCTTCGCAAGACCAAGTCACGACGCTAAGTCACTTCGAGAACGATGAAAGGCCGCGTCGTCAGTGCTGCCGGATCAAAATTATGTTTTTCCACCAATCTTTATGCAAAAATTCTTCAAATTTCCCTACTCTTGGTAACAATTTCACCAAATTGACAAAATTTTTCACACGCTATGCTAAAGCTCAATTTTCTTATTTATTTTTAGTAATAACGCATGCGCAAATCTAGAATTATGAGTATATATTACACAGATTTTTAATGAGAAACAAAGATAGAATGGTCGCGTTCAGCAGAGAAAGAAGTGAGCGCTCAGTGATTATTGGTGTATTCTTTTAGAACTTTGATAGATTCAAAAGAATGTACCAATCAGGGATAAAGTCACTAAGTGCTCACTGAACAGTTTTCTTGTGAATATATATGTGAATATTGAAACGTAGCCAATGAGTACATTCTAGCAATACTACAACGCACTGAGCTTTTACATCCGATTGGCATATTCCTTTACCTAGATCTAAAAATATACGCCGATCAAATGCAAGAGCTCAGTTAGTACTCAGGCAGCGGTTGTAATACTGAGTGCACCCATCGATCAAAAGACTCGTGGAAATTATATACTAATCAGCCAATCAGAGAATGTTGGCCGCTCTCTTTTTAGACTGGATCTACAATAGATATAGTAAGCCTCAAGTTGTAAAAAAATTGATCGATCACAGTCAACTATTTTCTTCACATTCGATTGTGGAGATTTTTCTCAGTACAAAGGCTGTCAAAATTCACCAAATTTACACTTTTCCCAGAAAAATGTCCACCAATTTCCACAATGTGAGAGAATCACCAAGATTGGCAACTATGTGCGCCGTAATGGACGGAATTTGAAGTTAAGGCCATCACACACAAACGAACTTAAGCAGTAAGCAAATCGACCAATCACAATCGAAATTTTAAAAGGACGTCATTTTAAAACTTACGAGAATAATTGATTGTGATTGGTCAGTTTCTTTACCGCTTACGTCTTACCGCTTACGTTCGTTTGTGGTGCGATGGCCTTTACTCGTTCGGCAAGAGGTGAGAGGAGGAAACCCCGAAACTGTGTTGCCGTACGTTGCGCCGATGGTCGATTCAGCGCTCGATTCGGCGGCGCGATTATCGATATACCCTCTCGAGCCACCGTCGAGACCACGTCGGTCTTACGCCGCACGTCGCGGCGCGGCGCGTATGTCGCGTAATGAGAGCGCTGCAATTTCCGTGGTTACAACCGCGAGCGCCGTTGCAATTGCAATTGTGACAATAATGCATATCTTCCTGCTTAAGTACGTTTATCGCGAGGCCACGCTTATTTGCATGAATCATCGTGCGCGCTATCTGCACGCGCACGCTCGGCTAATAATAGCCGATATCTTTAAAATAATGTTACCGTGCGCGGCGGGCCATGTACGTACGTTAAGCTGATTTACACGTGCGCCACGTCCTCCCCCGCCCCTCTGCGATGATATTCCCGCCGCGCGAGCGCTCTTCGCATTGTTCCTCGAAGGGGGCGTGCGAGCTCGTCGCGCCGAGGGACGCGATCTTCTCTTTGGGCGAATTTACATGATATACACACCGGATACCGCGGATCCCGGAGGAACCCGCGATATCCACGACATCTCGGTGTGTCACGATAGGCGAATGTAACGGTGCACCGTGAACACGCGGCGAGCACGCGCGTGGCACGACTGCAACTTCCCTTCCGTTGTCTCGTAAATCAATCGGATTTATTTTCTTGCCTGACGGAGTCGCGCGGCACGGAGCTCGCGATAATCGTGTCGCGCCCCGATGGCCGGGGACTTTATGCAAGCGCGAAACCGACACCGCTAATTTCCATCCCACACGCGTATGTCCGTACGTATTCATTCTCATGCTCGCTCGGAGAATTGGCCCTTTGTGTGGCGTATTTCTCTCTACCTGACGGCTCTCTCTGTGAAATCTCGCATTCCTATTTTTTTTTGGAGCCTAGTTTTTTATTGGTTCATTTTATTGGATCATTCATTACAAATCCAAAGTCAGATCTCAGAAATTCAAAACGGCAGATTCAATGTAGCTGCCACAAAAATTAGAGTAAGACTGAATAAATGTAAATCAGGTACACGATATAAAAGTTTATCAGATCGTCAATTACGAATTTCATGTCAGATTTACAAAATTCAATCAAGCAATGTTTTTTCCTTTTTTTTTTTTGATAATCCGTGAGTGCAAAATATTCTGAAAAAAAAAAATATATATATATATATATTAGATGTACAACTTTGCTTCCGCCGTTTTTTTTCCGAAACTCGAGGCTTTATTGTAAAAAACTGGTTATACATTTATGACTCAAAGTATTGTCCATCGCCGGCCACTACTTTCTTCCATCTTTCGGGCAGCGTACGAATCCCGCGTTGAAAAAACTGGTCATCTTTTGAAGCGATCCACGAATCGATCCAATTTCTTACTTCTTCATAAGACCGGAAGTGCTGGTCAATCAGGCCGTGTGCCATTGATCGAAACAAGTGATAGTCAGAGGGAGCAACGTCTGGAGAATACGGCGGGTGGGGTAGGACTTCCCATTTCAACGTTTCCAAGTATGTCTTGACCACTTTCGCAACATGGGGTCGAGCATTGTCATGCTACAAAATCACTTTATCGTTGTATTGCGGCCGTTTGTCTTTCAATGCTCGGTTCAAACGCATTAATTGCGTTCGATAATGATCGCCTGTGATTGTTTCAGTCGGTTTTAACAGCTCATAATACACTACGCCGAGCTGGTCCCACCAAATACAGAGCATGACCTTGGAGTCGTGAATATTCGGTTTGGCCGTCGATGTGGAAGCATGGCCGGGATATGCCCATGATTTTTTGCGTTTGGGGTTATCGTAATGAACCCATTTTTCGTCCCCAGTCACAATGCGATGCAGAAATCCCTTTCGTCTTTGCCTTTCAAGCAACTGTTCACAAGCAAACAAACGCCGTTCAACATCTCTCGGTTTCAACTCGTACGGCACCCAATTTCCTTGCTTCTGAATCATTCCCATGTCTTCGAGGCGTTTTGAAATTGCTTGTTGAGTCACTCCCAATGATCGTGCTAATTCTTCTTGACTTTGACACGAGTCTTCATTAAGTAATGCCACCAATTCTGCATCTTCGAAAACCTTTTCTCTTCCACCGCTATGCCGGTCTCCGACGTGAAAATCACCGTTCTTGAAGCGTTGAAACCACTCACGACACGTTCTTTCACTAATAGCGGCCTCACCATAAATATTTGAGAGCATTCGATGAGCCTCAGCCGCAGATTTCTTCATATTGAAGCAGAAAATTAAAACCTCCCGCAAATGACGAGAATTTGGCTCGTAAACTGACATTTTCAATCGAGAATAACTTTATGATGCAGACACAAATCGACTAATGTTTCTATGGGGTTATGTTGACAGATGCCCAAGTTTATTGTATGACGTCTATGATCTATTTATTTCGACCACTACTTACCGCTAAAGCCATCTATAGGAAAACGGCGGAAGCAAAGTTGTACACCTAATATATATATTATATTTAATGCGTGAAAAATATTCAGTATAAGTTTCAATCTCTAATCTTCAATACTTTCCAAGAAATTAATTTTTCTTTTTTAAATCTTTTTTTCGACTTTATTATAAATAATGATAGATAGATGAAGTATAAATAATGAAAAAATGAACAATCGGATGTGAAAATCATGGGAAATATTTAAAAAAAGTATTAATATATGAGAAAAATGATATATCAATATTTACTTTGCATCTTTCAAAAATTCCAAATGGCAGATCCAACATGGCTGCCATAAATTAGCGTAAGTCTGAATAAATATAAATCAGATACACGATATAAAAGTTTATCGTTACAAATTTCATGTCAGATTTACAAAATTCAATCAAGTAATTTTTTCTAATAATCCAACGAAAAATTCTGGAAGAAATATGTATTATATTTGACACGTGAAGAATATTCAGCAAAATTTTCAGCCTCTTATCTTAAATATTTTCCAAAAAATTAAATTTTTTTCAAATCGCCTTTTCCCAATTTCATTTATTTATAAATAATTAAAATTCTATCAGATACAAAAAACATGAGAAATATGTAAGAAAGTAAGTTTTAATATATCAGAAAAGTAAGATCATACTTATTTTTATTAAAATTATAAATAGTATATCGTAGTGAAAAATGAAAGTGAAATAGATAATAAATATACTTTTCACTTGCCACACAAAGGATTAACAGGAATTTTACGGTTAATAAAGTCGAGCTTCCCGGGCGCGCAAATTGAATTTTGACGATTCTGCGCTCCGCAGTTGCGACATAATTGAAGTATTTTCATAAATTTGCATGCAATTGTTCCTAATGTGCAAACAGAACACTTGGTGGAGCTGCATCGCAACGGTGCACGATGATACTCATCTGGAGTGTCAACGTCAGCTCGACCAGCCGTGTATGGCGGCTTTATCGGCCACGAAAATTTAGACTCGAGCTGGTAGGCGCGTCTCTACAAAAAAAAAAAAACATACGACCTATTTCCGATAACTATTACCTCGGGATGAAAAATACACGCAGCATTATCTATGAATTCCAACATGTGCCGTGACGATAACGTTACGCCGATAAGGAAACATCTGTACGAATACGCACTGCATCACGCGGCAATT